GAAAGTATTTCAGATGTTATTAGGTTTAGTAAGATAAGGGTGAAAAAGTAAGCAACCACTGGATTTAGTTACATGGAGGTCTCGGAGACCATGAAAGCAGTTTTTGTGGAATTGTGGGAGTAAACTTGGCGAAATTAGATTTAAACAAAAGGAAGAAGAATTGGAGATAGCCAAAAGACAACTCTTTCAAGGAGTACTCTTGCCAAGCAGAGCAATGGTCTGCAGCTGAAGGCTGGGGCAAGGAGGTCAATGAACCAAAAGGTGGCATTTTTTTTTTTTTTTAAGATTGTAGAAATAATCTGATGGGAATGACCCAGGAAAGAGAAAAAGTTGATATAGAAGAAAAGAATTGCTACAGCAGTGTTCTTGAGAAAGTGAGAGCAGACAGACCTAGTCTAGTATACAAATGGAGGGACCTGTTTCAAAACGTTTTTTTAGTAATAACAATGAGTGTAGCTACTGGTGGGTGGATAGATGGAGAAGGTAAAGTCTTTGGAAGTTTTCTTCTGATGCTTCAATTTTCTCACTGATGTAGGAAGCAAGGTAATCAACTGAGGGTAAAGGCAAGAGGAGGGGTTAGAAGTCTGAGGCTAAAGGAGAAAGTAAGAAATAGTGTCTAGTTAAGTGGGATTATTAATAAACTTACAGGAAATATGGTATGACTGCTGGGCAGCATTCAGGAATTCATTGTCATACATTTAAAATAAAATTAGTCCTCGAGGTTGAGGGTTTTTTCTAGACACATTTAGTTCCTGCAGCATAGGTGAGAGTAAGAGTGAAGAAATAACATGACAGGGGGCAAGGGATAATGAAAGTGTGGTAAGATAAATGGAATGGAGAGTCCAGAGTGTTGCACGATTCTAGAGGGAGTGAAGCTGGAAAGATAGGAGCTGATAATCAGAGAATGAAATGTATGGTATAGAGATTATAGGATGGATATATTAAAAGTTTCAAATGATGGCAGAGCACCCAACTGGAAATAACTAGTAGGAACATTTTTTAAACACTAAAAGGTTATAAAAGTTTACAAAGAAAAGGGAAAGGGGAAAACAATAAGTAATGATATGTAGGGGGTAAAATAATTGCATCAAAAATACGAAGTACATACCCAAAAGAACTGAAAGCAGGAATGCAAACAGACATTTGTACCCAATGTTCATTGCAGCATTATTCACATTAGCCAAAAGGTGGAAACAGGCCAAATGTTCATCACAGACGAATGGATAAATAAATGTGATACATACACACAATGGAATATTACTCAGCCATAAAGAGAAATGAAGTCCTGATACATGCTACAGCATGGATTGTTCTTGAAAACATTATGCTGAGTGAAATAACTCAGTTACAAAAGGATAAAGATTATATAATTCCACTTATACAAAGTATCTAGGATAGGCAAGTGTATAAAGACCAAAGTTTATTAGTGGTTACCAAGGAAGGGTGGGGGGAACTCATTGTTTAGACTCACTGGGCTTTTGTTAAGGGTGATGGGAAAATCTGGAAATGGATAATGGTAATGGTAGAACATGAGAAACTAATGTCACTGAATGTACATATGAATATATCATTTGCCTTTTCAACATTCATCTCCACAATAAGAAAAATATGCAGGTCAAGAATAACTGCTAGGAATTGTAGCAGCTAAAACGTAATGTAGTTTTTAATGTCTTTACAGAGAGGAACAAGCAATCAACTGATAGAGGATTCCATAATTCAACCAAATGAAATTACTACAGAGCAAGGCTTCTTCCCCATAGTAAATGTTCAGTAAATGTTTACCAAGTATTAGGAAATCTGACTAACACAATGCGTCTAACAGCAGTTTCTTCAAAAACCTGTTAAACTTTCAAATCAGAAAGGCTAATCAAAAGAATTTTTATACCACAAGGGAATTAGTTTCCCATGCAGGACCTCAAGTCAGATCAGACAAGATCAACTCCAATGATGTTCCTCAATCAGAAACGACAGAACCAGAACTATGTCTCAAAAGGCCAAAAAAGTTCATTTTTCCAGATATAAACCACAATTAAAAGATTAGTGAACCAAGCCCGAAGATCTCAGTCTGATAATCTTTTTAGTAGAAATATTAGGCTCCAGTCCAAGAGAAAAGCCTCTGTACCCTAGAATTCTATCTATGCACCATCCCTACTCAAAATTGTCTATATAAAAGTACACAATGCATACGGGAGGATTGATGTACATCTGATTAATGTATGATTAGGAATTATGTACGACCTTTGAGTTTTAATATCATGGACAAATATACAATGACATTTGAAGGAAGTTTCTCTTGGCTTCCCTTAAATGTGAGGCTCTTTAAAGGATGAATGACAAGGTTAGGAAATGTTAGCAAGTAGGCCAGGAAATGACACTCACATAATGTTGGTGGTAGTGTTAACCGTTTGGGCAAATATTTTGGAATTATCTGTTAAATTAAAAATATATTGACCCATGTGAAAATGATTTATTTGGTAAAAATAAAAGCAACAAAATATAAGGAAATAAGTATAAGGATGTTTATTGCAACATTATTTATAGTGACAAAAAAACTGCAAACAGCTATTTAAATCGCTATCAATTGACAATATTCATCAGTTATTGAGAGAGAAAAGCAAGTATTAAAGTGGTATGTTTGCACGATTCCATTTTTTGAAAAAGTACACCACCCCCATATATATTTATTCATTCAACAAACATTTATTGAGTGCCTATAGTATGTTAGGCACCATTTTGTAGTGCACACCTTTTAGTGGTAGAGACAAACAAGGTAACTAAGTAAAATACAATTATTTAGAATATTAGAAAGGAAAAATAAAGCAGGAGAGTAGGAAGAGTGTTTGTGGAGGGGAGGCGAAAACATGAGGACATCTGAAGGGACATTCAAGGCAGAGGACACAGCAAGAGCAAAAACTCTTGAGAGCAAGGGTGTGTCCCAGTGTTTTGAGAAACAAAGTAACCAAGAGGAAGAGTAATAAAGAGATAGGGTCAGAGAAAGCAGCTCTGTAGGTGGCCTAATCAAGTAAGATCTTGTAAGGCCTTACAGGCAATGTAGAGGTAAGGACATTAGTCACTAAACAAACCAAACACATTGCCTTCCAGCTGATTCTAACTCATAGTGACCCTATAGGACAGGGTAGAACTGGTTTCCAAGGCTGTAATCTTTACGGAAGCAGACTGTCACATCTTTCTCCCGCAGAGCAGAGCACTGGTGGGTGGGTTCAAACCTAAGACTGACCTTTCAGTTAGGAGGTCAACACTTAACCACTGCACCACCAGGGCTCCTCATCAGTCACTATATCAGGTTAACTTTTAGTTACCTTATAATGATGGCATGTGTTTTTATTTATGCATCTCTGCATATTTCAGTTTAAAATGAGCGCCATTATTGTAAAAAAGAAAAAAAAAAAAAATGAAGTTGACTGAGAATAGGGTATCTCCTAAAAGCTGCTTCCTACTTTTGTAATCCATTGTTGTTTGCCATCAAGTCAATTCCTATTCATAGCAACCCCACAGGACAGAGTAGAATTGCCTAGGCTGTAATCTTTATAGGAGCAGATCACCAGGTCTTCTCTGCAACGGAGCCACTGGTGGGTTTGAAGGACCAACCTTTTAGTTAGCAGCCGAGCACGTAACCACTGCGCCACCAGGACACCCTTTGTAAATTCTCAAATCTATTTAATGTCATTTATAAGCATCTAAGATGAAAAAATTAACGATGTTATTTAATAATAGATACCTGTGTCTCAGCTATAGAATGGTTGCTTTTCTAGATTTATAAAAAAAGAAACTATCATGAAATAATTATCACCTAGAGATTCTAATATTTAAAAACAGAGTTCTTAAAAAACAGGATATTACTATACTTTAGAATGAAAAAACTAAAAGAGGTAGGTTAAGTTCAATGAGAGGGAAAAAAAAACTTGCTTTAGAATAAAAAAAAAAAAAAAAACTGGGTTCAAATCCTATCCTAGTTTAAGCAAATTACTTAACCTTTCACAGATTCAGTTTCCTGATCTATAATGAGAGTAATAATATTTTTAGATTTAGATAAAACTGAAAATAGGCCAAGTAATAATAACAATGATCATAACCTCTTCTCAAAGCATTCACATTCTTTAAAATTTCAAAATGGTCCAAAAAAAAAAAAAAAAAATCATTTTAGTTTAATCAGAATCTAAGCCGGAATTTTTTTTAAATAAAGAATTCTCAGTGTTAAATATATATTTTTTAGAAATGGAAGTTTACATACAGCTTAACGTAAGTATAGTAAAAAAAGAATGGACCTGACAAATCAAAGACATAAGCAGCATAATTATCACTGTATGTCCTTTATAAATTTAAACAGTACATGTACATTTTATAACATATTGACCTTTCATAAAAGATTAAATATGACAGAATGTGTATTTCTATACTATTCAATGCCAACCAGTTCTTTTCCTGCTATTATTAGTTCTATTAAGTTCTAGAGTACAAAGTTATTGGAGAGAAGTTGGCAAGAAAGGGAAGTAAGGAAGGAACTATGTCCAAATTATATGTTGTTTTGGAGTATTTTACTCCCCATGGGAATAGATGAGAGTGATGCTGTAGTCTGCCTGAAAGAGAAAAGTACAAGAGAAGTCACCCATTTAAAAAATTAAACATTTCACCAAGTGGTTGTATTTCACTAGTTGGTTATTATTCCTTGGTAGCGAGCACATTTGGTACTTCTGATAAATCTGTTGGCAATAAATTACAAGGCCTAGGATCAAATGACTATTGATTTAAATGAGGATTAAGATAAAACCAAAATCTAGAATTAGTTATTTTCGGACTCCCAGATCAATGTGCTTCCTATAATAAGATTTTGTTAATTACAAAGGAAATTCTTTTAATGACTTCTAAAGTAATCATAGATAACATAAAGCCAAAACAAAACAAAAAGATTACAAATTAAGGGGAGAAAAAAGCATGAGGGAAAATAGTGGGTACTTTTCATATGTAAGAATTATCATTACCTTTTCCAAGTCTAACTCCTCTAACAAAATGCTGGCATTTTTGTTTGCTTCGGCAGCCTGTCTATCTTTGGCTTGTACTATTGATTCCATACAGAGATGACACTTCTTCAGCATCTCCTAAAATGAAAAAATAAGAAATTTCCAGTTTCAAAAAGCAATTCACATTTAGAAAGATTCCTAAAAACAGATCTTTATTAAAACATTAGCAATAAGGATCAGTGGCGGAGAAAAAAAGGTGCAAATTGAAAACAATTTAAATGATAATATTTAAAAAAATTCACAAGCAAAGAGTCTTTGCTGTTCTTTGAAATAATATCCATTGACTGGCACTCTGGAAACTAAAATTATTTACTCCTATGATTGGAATACAGAAAATCATACAGCAAACAACTGCAATACTTTATGTCAAGGGATCGAAAGAGCTAATGAAAATGGTCAATATCAAGAAAGAAAACTGATTTAAAATTTTAAGAAGTAGTTATTAGGCAAGAACTGTTTGCATATATTCAAGCTTTGCTGCTACAACTTCATGTGCAAGAACCATTCACAAAGGAATCACAAACACAGATACTTAAATTTTAAGACACCAAAGGGGTATTTCTTTACTAAGGACAAAAGCTTTATTTTTAAATCCCTAACCTCCCCCTTAAAAAAAAACAACTGTGGTGTGTACAAATGCTATTGTCATAGAGGAATCTAGAGGCAGGCAAATCCATGAGCTGACTATGTTAAAAAAAATCTGTGGGGAAAAGTTGATCACTATTATGTAATAACTATTGAAAAACCGTAATAGAAACACGTTTTTAGATTTGCTAAGAAGTACCTTTTGATTTTCAGAGGCATGCATTTATGATTCTAGTCTAAGAACAAATAAACATTTTTATTCAATTACTAGTATAAACTTCAAATCAAAACACCACTAGGGAAAGACTTGAATTAATTCTCTATTAAGATTTATCTTTCCTACTTTCTCAGTAAAAAATTAATTCATTCTTATGCTGACAGTTATCCTAACTTTTATGAAATGTTAAACATTTTAAAAGAGTTTTCCTGCCCATGACTGACTATGTCTATTTTTACTTAGGAATAATAATAAAAAATTCACTGTGCTTATCAGTTTCTCAGAATAGAAATTCGTCTAGATAAACATATATAATGAATATTTGCTGTTCACGTATTTAGTGTTCACATGAAAGTTAAATTAGTTCAAGAACTACTTTAAAAAGATCAAGTTTTATTGCTTCATTAGGTTAAGTAAATAATCTGGAAGGCTCTTAAATGGCATACTGCATTCCTAAATACTATATAAATGAAAATTAGTGTATACAACTCTATTTCTCGAACTAAAATTCTTTTTTCCTTAACATGGATTACAGATATGTATTTTAAACCAAATGAGATCCTTAGCTCTTATAGTGGGATAAATGTGAACAATGTATTACCTTATCAGTGATGGTTGCTATGTATCTCATACACTCAGAATCTGATGGAAACTGATTGACTTCTTTGACTAAGTAGCGTACCACCTTCACATGACCCTAAAAAAAAGATACCAGTGTCAGATTGAAAACAGATTCTAATATAACCGAGTACATCTACAGAGTCTGTCTTAAGTAAGATTCCTTTAATATTAGTTATAGAGCAAAATGTAATTAAAGACGTAATTGCATACTACAAATGAAAAAGCTTTGGTTCTAATAAGTTAAATCTACATTCTGACCCCAACCTACCCCGCTAAAAAAGTACAGAATAACTAGTACCCTGACCTAAAATTCTAATCTATTCTGAACTTTAAAACAATAACAAAAATTAGTGTGAAGAAGAGAAGTAGGGATATGTCTAAAGGAAAAAAAAAAAAACTTATTTCTTGCTAACTCACTAAAAATAAGCATGTTATTTCAATTCTAAGCATTAAAAGAGTAGAAATAATTTTATTCTTTCAGATAAAAAGTGAATACATAGCACTGTACTAGGCAGTATGAAAGAGATAATATGCACTTTCCTAAAGCATGAGCTATCATTATATTATTCAAGAGGCTCTCCACTTTCTCCAGTCCACTTTCACCTACACTATTGCTCTATGATACAAGTCAGTCAGTCTGGCTAAACAGCTGTTTATTTTTAATGTATTTACTCTGCTGCCTCTAGGCCTTCCATTTCATGTACAGGTAGTCCCCAACTTATGATGGGGTTCCATGCTGAAAACCATCGTCAGTTTTGACATAAACTGAATACCTCATTTTTTTTTATTTATTATTATTGCCTTTTATTATCGGTATCTTTATAAATCCAATCTTTATTTGTCTTTGGGGATTGGAAACACTGCATATAAACTTACAGATAGAGTTTAACATTGTAGGTAGTACATATTACTAATAATAAGATGTACAAAAAATAACAGATGGTTATAAGTGCAATTCGTTGTAACTGGAATAAGTTGTAAGTCAGTGGCTACCTGTACATCTTTTTAAACTATCCCTGTCTTTTAATGAAGCAGCCCTAGTGGGGCAATGGCTGGTTGTTGGTTCAAACCTACCCACCAGCTCCAAGGGAGAATGACCTAGTGACCTGCTTCCATAAAGATCACAGCCTAAGAAATGCTATGGGTCGCCGTGAGTCAGAATCAACTTGATGGCACCTAACAATAACAACATCTTTTAATGAATAGCTCAAATACCACTTGCATCGTTCTCTGATGATCTCTTCCACATTTCTACAGTACTTAGTTTAAACTACTTATATGGCACAACTCAAGGCTATCTGGCTTTGGGTATGGATTTTATCTCTCCTATTAAATTACACATTTTTGGGCAGGGGGGACGCTTGTACCCTGTTCAACATTGTATCTCAACCACTCCAGTTGTACACAGTAGGTAATGAAAAAATAAACAAAGGAATGAATACAAAGAGTATGAAAGATAAGCACTGTTCTTAGTATCTTAGGAGAGTAAGTCTATTTGGAAAGATAAACTGATTAGAGATCTCAGTGTGAGCTAAATCAGGATTGAAAGAGCTTTTGTAGAAGGGGAGATTTAAGCTAAATCCATACAGTGGGTAATTTTGGAAAACTGAGGAAGGACATGGACATTCCACGATGTAAGAGCACAGGGATGAGGAAAAGACTAAGCAATGAATGAGAAGACTCTCCACATTAGGGACTCATAATGGGAGAGCCTGAATACCAAACCAAGATTGGATTCCAAGTGATTTTCAAATGATTTCAGAGACTGGGGAGGCAGGAAAAGGTTCTTGAGCAGGACATTGTATTGACATAGTGAAAGTGGTTAGGAAGATGACCTGATAATGATATGCTAGCCTGCTTGGAGAAGAGGTAGGTAGCTTGTGAGAAATCCTGGTGATGAGAAAATAAAAAAGAAAATCAACAAAGTATCAGTGGCTAGGCAGTCTAGAATACCCAGTGAAGAGGTGATGTAAAGAACAAAATTCAGAGAGAGGAATAAGAGAAAAAACAACAGATGATTTCTTGAAATTTACAAATTAGAATTTTTCAATACAATAAAACAACTTGCAATCTACAGGAGATTTTATCTACATATACCAGAATGACAAGACTCAAAGTTATGACCCCTTAGAGTAATCTGGTTTTCCCAATCACCAATAAAAATTACATTTAAGGAATCAAATCATTAAACAAAATTACTCATACACAGTCTGTACTATGCACTATACAAAGAGAATCAGATGCGCTTCTTGCTTTCACAAAGTTCATATTCTACTTCTAAATGTGGTATACTGATTTTCAGTAGTTTAAATACCAGTAGTCAAGTTTCCATTATTTAATTCCCTTTTTTCTGAGTAATAAAATGATTAACATAAAATCAATTTAACTTAAGTTAAAGAAAAAGTCCATTCAATACAAATAAGTAGCTCCAACTATTGTTATTAACTGCCTTGGAGTGCACCTCCAACACGTGGAGACCCCATGCATATCAGAACAAAAGAAGGGCCCTGTGCCACCACATGATTGATTGTGGATTTTCAGAAGTAGATCACCAGGCCTTTCTTTCTAGTCTGTCTTAGTCTGGAAGCTCTGCTGAAACTTCAGCATCACAGCAACAAGCAAGCATCTACGTGGTGGCTGAGTATTAGGTGCACTACCCGAGAAGTGAACCATACCTCCCTGCATGGAGTGTGAGAATTCTACCGCTACCCTTAACTGGATCTACATTCTGTGAAAGGTTAAGATTACAACTAGATTTTAAAAATACTATTTATACCAGCTTTTTAATGTCCAATAGTAGTTTTCCTGGGGTAGATGTGTCTACCTTTCAGTGTTGCTATCAGATTAAATTTTTGCATATTAATGCTCTCTTCATAGCTGTTAATATAAAATGAAAGTCTTCAGTGATCACTAAACTACACACTTTCTAGTGCTGGTGTAAAACATCCAGGTGAATGAGGTGAAATAGAACCCTCTACCTTTCTAAATGCTGCCATAAGAGGAGTTATCTTGCGGTTATCTGCTGCATCCACATCTGCACCTGCTTGTACTAGTAACTGGACCACATCTAGGTGTCCACCATTTGCTGCCAGCCACAACGGAGTGTTCCCCTTCTTGTTACGCACATCAATATGAGCTCCCCTAAAAATGAAATGGCAACAGATATCACTGTCTTAAATGAAATGCAACGACACACATAACAATAAAAATCAACTACTAACTTCTAAGAATATACTGTAAAGATGAAAACTGTTTTATTATTCAAGGACTAAAATGGATTTTTTTTCCTCAGAATTACATTATAAAGAATTTCCAGACTTCAAATTAAAAATATTTAATAAACGAATATTTACATAAATCAGTATTTTCTTATTTTAAAAATTATAATTACCTTTTTTGCATAACTCTAAGTTTCAAGCACTAAGAAAATGTGAAATTTTGTTTACTGAAAAATAAAAGTAACCTCATAAAATGTATTAAATAAACAGTATGCTAGAAACACAAAAAGTATCCTATAAGGCAATCATATCTATTTCAGATAATCACGTAAACACTGTGTTCATATACAAAGGGTAACATAATACCTGCCAATAAGAAGCTCACAGAATTTATAATGTCCTTTATCTGCTGCTATGGTTAAAGCTGTGTCTCTCGAGGAGGGTACCGGAGGGGCATTAACATCAGCACCTTTATCCAAAAGAACTCGGCCCACCTCTGCATATCCACCGGAGGCAGCTTCCATTAGTGGTGTGAGGCCAGTCTAGGTTTAGTGGAAAATAAAAACACGTAAGACACCAGAAAGATCTAAAATGTTAACAATCTGGGAAAGCAGTATGATGTAGCCGTTACAAGGATTCACAACTGTATTTCAGCATTGTCACTTACTACCTTGCTGACCTTAGCCTCAGAGTTACAGTCTGATCTATTAAAAAAAAGATAATTCTACTTAATCTCAATTGTATCCTTGTGGAAAAAAAGTTGTTTAACATGAAAGCATTTGGCACATAAGTGGCATTCAGTGAGTGCTCCCTCCCTTCTCTAATAGTATATATTTTTCAGCTGATAACCCTAATGTCATTAACCTATTGCTGTTGAGTGGATTCCAACTCATAGCAACGCTATAAGGAGCTCTGGTGGGTCAGTGGTTTAAGTGCTCAGCTGCTAACTGAAAGGTCAGTGGTTCGAACCCACCAGCTGCTCCAGGGGAGAACGATGTGGCAATCTGCTTCCATAAAGACTACAGCCTTGGAAACCCTATGGGACAGTTCTACTCTGTCCTAGAGGGTCACTATAAGTCAGAATCGATTCACTGGCAATGGGTTTGGTTTGGTTGGCCAGAACAGACAAATTAGTCTTGGAGAAATAGGTTCTAATGCCATTACTGCCTATAAAAATCAATTGTTGAGATTATTTTCAAAAGTTAATACTTCACTGAGTCATATACAGAATGATTTCTGATTAAACATACATGTAGATGATAAATGCTACTAGAAAGTACTACAATTATAATTAACATTGCAAACTTAAATATCAAAGTAATAAATCCATGTATAAATTTTAGACTTTTTCTTACCTTAGCTCTGTGTTCAACGTTTGCTTTTCTATCAAGCAGAAGACTAACCACTTCCGTTCTTCCTTGGAAGCAGGCTAAGGTAAGGGCAGTGTTCCGATTGGTTTCTATTTGAGCATTTATGTCAGAGCCCATGTCTAACAGGAGCTTAACAGCTGCTGTGTGTCCATTCATCGCTGCTAACATCAGAGGAGAAATGCCCAATTTGCTACCAGTTCTAGGGGTAGGCATAGGGGGAGAACAAAAAATATATATATACATTTTAAATGACCCAGAAAACAAAAAAGATAATAAAATAAAATTCTTTTTAAGATTATTTTGCAGGATTATTTAAAATAATCATTTTTCTCAGCCTACTAACAGTAAATCTATGAGATATTATCAAGACTCCATTAGAAATCTTTTACTACCAAGAACTTTTTCAACATAATGACTTGGGCAGGATTTTCCATCCTAGCATACACATTTGCTTGTTTCTGAAAAAAACTCATAAAAAAGATGTGCTTCCTCTTAATACCATAAGAAACAGTAATTTATATTTCTCAAGTCCTATGTCAATAGTTATAATTACTTAAAAACAAAATTAATCTTTAAAAATCTCCAACAATTTGGATTCTAAATTTTTAGTAAAGGAATTTCCTAAATGCAGAATAAAAAAAAGTAGGTGCTCTACAAATATATTTCATGTAACACTCTTACTAAATATGTAGAGAGAATAAGCTTGCCTAGAATTAATCTCGGCTCCTGCATTTAGTAATATTTTGATGATGTTCACATAGCCACCAGAAGCAGCCAGGCTTAGAGGTGTGTAATCAGAAACATTCCTGTGTTCTTTATTTGCCCCTCGAGCTAACAGCAGCTCCACCACCTAGAAAGAAAAAAAGAAAAAAACATATTTTCTTCATATGGTGAGACAATTTTCAAGATGTGTATTTCTGATTTCTCCTTTTATCTGGCAGACTGTATGACAGAAGAAGTGGAAGGCCTTTCTTTTATCCTCTGTATAAAACCAGCCTCTTTCTTTCAGCAAGGGTCCTAGAAGCCAACAAAGAAATAACTTGTCAAGTAAAACCCATTTAGTAATCTGTTGAAATGGCACAGTGTATCCATGGAAGATCCAGACCTCATATATTGTCATGACTGGCTATTTTAGAAACTGGTATTTATGTATTATTATACCACATAGTGGTAAAAATAGAAAACTACAGGACAAGACTTTTTTCATTCATACATATATGCATGTGTTGAAAAAACATTTTTAATTTTCAATCAATAACTAAACGTTTAAATAAAAAATAATAAATAAGTAGACATTTACCGATATTTTACTATGAAGTTTTAAATATTCAGAAAAGTTGAAAAAAATTTACAGTAAACATCCACATAGTCACATATACCTATATACTACCATCAATATTCTACTGTACTTACTTCATCGCATCTATTTATCTATCCATCTTGTTTTTTGATGTATTTCAAAGTAAACTGAAGACACCTGCAACTTCCCCTCAATATTTCAGCACGTGTATATATCACTGAGTAGACTATATTATGTTTTAAGGATATCTGGGGGATGAAACTTACATACAACATAAATGCTCAAAGCTTAAGTGTACATTCAAAGCTTAAGTGTACATTTGACAAATGCATAAACATATATGTAATCTAAATCCCTATTATTCATCTCATGCCCTTCCCAGTCAGTCCCCACCAAGAGATTAATTTCACCTGTTTTAGATCTTCATATAAATGAAATCACACAGGATGTACACTTGATTTTAAGGCTTCTCTCAATCAGCATAATGTTTCTGGGTTTATCAGTATTTCTTTTTGCTGTTTAGTATGAGTATGTATATGAAAACTCCGGTGGTTTAGTAGTTAAGAGCTATGGTCGTTAACCAAAAGGTCAGCAGTTCGAATCCACCAGGCGTTCCCCGGAAACCCTATGGTGCAGTTCTACTCTGTTCTATAGGGTCATTATGAGTCAGAACTGACTCAACACCAACGGGGTTTTTTTTTTTTTTTTAAATGTATGAGTATACATGCCATACTATGCCATTCGCTTAATGACATTTCTGCTGCTTCCAGTTTTGGGCTATTATGAATAAAGCTGCTATGAACATTCTTGTGGAAATATGCTTTCATTACTCATTGGATTCATCTAGTGGTAGAATTTCTGAGTTATGTTTGGTTTTACAAGAAATTACCAGGTAATTTCCCAAAGTGGTATAGTATTTTACACTCCCATCAACAATGCACCCTCGCCAACATTTAGTGTTGCCAGTCTTTTTAACTCTAGCCATTCTAGTGGATGTCTGCCGGTATCTCACTACGATTTTAATTTGCATTTCTCTGATGACTAAAATATTTAGCACTTACTCAAATGCTTATTGGCCATTCATACATCTCTTGCACACTATGTCATTTACAGCACAAAAAATCCCTTTGACACGGATACTAGTATTTTCATCCTCATTTTACAAAAGAGGCACAGGGAGGTTAAGGATTGCTCAGGATCATAGCTCTTACCCTTTCTCTTACTCACTATTAATAGTAAATACTAATATTAAATGCATACCAATTGTCTGCACTGTTGGTTATAGAAAAAAAAATGATACAAATGTATTCACATTATCAACCAGAAGGAACAACACAGTAGGGACAGGTCCCTTATCCTTCCTTGTGCAGAACACCTCTGGTAGCAAGTGCATCTAGCTATTCTTGTACATCTCTTCTCCAAATATAAAACGGCAAAAGTACAGGAAGAGTCAAGTGCAAACTAAGAAAAAAAACAAAAATTATTCCTGTTTTATCACTAGGCTCTAATTCTTTTTAATCCATAAATCTAAATGTAAAATCATTGTTCTGACAGATAAAATCATGTGAGTTTAAAGTATACCTTTGCTAAACAAAGACAGAAACAATTATACTAGGGGAAAATGTTACCTCCTGTCTTCCCCCAGAACAAGCCAAGGACAGTGGTGTGTCCTTGGTTCTTTCTGACTGGGCTTCAATGTCTGCACCATTATCCAGCAATATTTCCACAACACCAACATGACCAGCTGTAGCAGCCAAGATGAGTGGAGTAAAACCTGGAGAAAAATAATGATCTTCTTACTACATGTTAAGCGAAGGAAAAATATTAAGCATCAAAATAGGGCTAGAAGTAGTACTTCACACAACACAAACATTCCAGGGAAAAGATTAACAAAATTAGGCTCTACCTTTCTTGTCTCGGTGCTCAATACTAGCTCCTCTCTCTAGCAGAGTTTGTACCAGTTCCTCATGGCCACCAGCACACGCAAGTGTTAGTGCTGTGTCATGGTTACTCTCAGTCTGTAAAAGATCAATTATTTTGATTAACTTATTAGATAATTTAAAATGTTAATTATCAATTACATAATATGCACATATTCCAAATGCTCACATACATATGTACCACTTTGCTGTATCAAACATTTGAATAGTAAATTGTATTTTTTGTTTGTGCTTTTTTTAGTAGTCAACCTGTGATCCTTTTGTAAGCTACTAATAGGCACTATGAGCAATTTGGTAAAGCCAAGCATGGAAAAAAAAGTGTAATTTTCAATCATACGCTGTTTTCAACTACATGATTAAAAGAAATATCATGGACTCACTTTCACTTCCATCTATAATGAAGTAACACAGACTGGATTTACCATCCCATTTTAAACAACTTAAAAACAACTATTTGAAACGATGGTGTTGAGACAGGCAGTAAAGGGCAATGATCCCTGAGAATGGAAAAGAATAGCCCAACTTAATGCCTGGAGAGTTTCCAGGTTGCAGTACATGGAGAGGTACCCAAACAGCCTTGCAGTCTCCCTAAATTGAGAAGGCAAAGTTCCAAGAGGTCAAGATGGCTAGAATTCATGGGACAGAGTACTGGAGAGGAGAGAGGTGCACAGAGAAAGTATTCTGGAGATCTGCAGAAGGTCTCAAGTCTTCTTCAGATGAGTACTGATTAGCTCATGTGTGTGACAAAACTATTAAAGGACAAGGAAAAAACAACCAGGCTAAACAACACCCAGAGCTCACAAAGGATCTGGAATAGTTTCATTGCCACCAGCCAGACTGGAAAGACTTTAAAACACATGAGACATTAAGCAGAATCCTCAGTAGTGGGGCCAAACTAGATGTTATGGATCTACCTAACAAAGCTAAAGAGTAAACCTTGAAATGAAAAATTAGTTTCCAAGTAACACAGCTGCATTCTAGAAGAAAGCCCCAAAATATCTGAAGGAACATACAAAAAAATACTGTGTATTTTGAAAGACAATTATAATTAAAATATAGTATGACATATAGTATACAACCAGCAGTTTATATATAATTATATACAGTTCAGATACAATTTTACTTCTGACTTTTGATAACCGTTAATGGTAGTGACCAATACTCCACTACCAGTGGCCAGACTAGATATAGTTCTATCATAGTCTATATGCTCATGTAGTAAATGAATTAAATTCTCGTATTTTTAGTGCTCTAAACTTGTGTCCAAAAAGGCAACTAGCAACATTTAGGTATTAGCACTTGAAATATACTTAACGTGAATTTGAAACTGAAATTTAAATCTCATTTAAATTTAAAAACTGATAGTTCAGTTATTGGAAAACTGTTAACAACTTGGTTAAGTGAATCTATTTTTTCAACTGTACATTTAATCAAATCCAAATACAGATCTAGTATTTCTAATGAAGTCCAAATTGAAATATACTCTAAGTGGGGTGAACAACTATCCCAGTTTGCCTGGGACTGGTGGCGTTCCCTGGGATCCTGAGATGTGGAACTTTTGGTGTTAAAACCAAATCTATCCCAGGCAAAGTAGGAGGATTGATCACCATGGCTTTAAGCACCATACACACTACATTTTGAAGAGTTTTAGTACCAAAAAAAGGTAAAATATCTCCTTAGTAATTTTTTTGTATTGACTGCATGTTAAAACAATACTGTGGATACATTAGATTAAATTCTTTCTTAAAATTTGTTCCACCTTTTTTTTTTTAAATGCAGCTACTAGAAAATGTAAGATTACACATGCCTGGCATTGTTTTTCTATTGGACAGTACAAATCTAAGCCACCTTTTCTGTTCTCAATTTCACACATCTGCCACCAATCTGCCTTGTGCTATAATAGTTATGTGTCTACCACCTTCAAACGACTATGAATTCCTATAAGGCAAGGAACACATCTTATTCATGCTTGCATTTTCCATCTATAAGTGATGCTCTACCCAGGAAACAATAAATGATAGTTAAGGCAAATGACAACAGCTGTAAAGGGTCACAGATTCAAAGACTATTACTACACTACATATGTGAAATACTGCGTTTACTATATTTATATGTTTATTGTACTTATATACTATTACATTATATGTTTGTTATATTTATTTAATAAATATAAAGGGGAAAGTCATATTCTCTCAGAATATCAGTAACTCTAACAATTAAAATCCATCATAAAAAAATGAGTAACAAGAGACGAAAAGCAGAATCGATAACGAGTCAAGAAATAAGAAAAAGCCTACTAGTTGGTGATGAAGAAGAGACACCGCAAAAGCTGCTCTGCAGAAGAGGCTGGCAGAGAGCAGAGCTACTGACTGCAGAGATCAAGGATGGCCACAAGGGAGAGATGCACCAACTACAACAACGGAGAAGGACATGAACACTTAAATGAGTGACAGCTCTGGTTGCTTCAAAGTATTTGATCTTCATTTAGGTTTATAAAGAAGGGATTATGTCTGATTTTAGAGAAGTAACTTTTTTTCTTTAGAAGTTCCCGAGAAATAATTTTCCAATTGTCATACAGCTAGTAACTAGTAGGGATGGGCTTAAAAAATCAAGAGGATTTTCTTGATAACAAAACCCTGCTTTTCCCATTACACTGTACAGCATCCCTAAAGCACAGCAGGTGAGGGTCAACAGAATGTTATGTTTTATCTGTCTTATGTATTTTCTACATTAGTGTGCATACAATCAGCACAAGCGTCAAGTTTATGATACAGATTATGAGAATTCTAAACTTCTTTCTGGACTCAAAGAGTAATTCAGAAAAGCTGTGCCAATCTTAAGTGGAGAATGAAGAGACATATAATTTGAAAAAGATGAGCACAGGAAATCTTAGTGGATCAGTAAAACAGGACACTGCTAGTTACTCTACAGTAGACAAGTATGAGTAAATACAGGCCCTGCTACTAAGAGCTTAATGATTACCTACTACTATGCAGGGAAATTTTAGGGTTCAACCATGAGAGAAGTAGAAATATTGTATTATAGGAGTTAGGGAAAAAATGATTTAAAGCTGAGAAAAAGAGCTAGTCAAATTCCTTAGGGAATTCAAGTTAAGAGTGTTTAGCTCCACTGTAGTTCTGCAATATGGAGAAATTCAAACAACTAATGCTTTATGACAGTCTTTTTAATACATAATGAAAGAATTTAAAAATCCTGAAGTAAGGCCTCTTCCAAACTACAGACCCACACAGTCCCAAAACGGTAGGAAAATATTCTCCTGCTTCACAATACGTCAAGAAGCAAAGTAACTGAAGCAGAAGTCATATTATATCGGTTGTTCAAGAAGCCACATTATTTGCTGTATACCTAGAAGAAAGTCCCAAACCTGAAAGGAGACAGATGCTCAGAGGATTTTTAAGAGCTCATCCAGGTTTATGTACATTTAGCCTATGGTACTATAAAATTGGCCATTCCATGCTATAACGGATGTTGTCATTATGATTCTGGCTTATTAAAAAAAAAAAAAAAGATAAACATTATATTCAATGTAAAAAGTTACTATAAATTATCAACATGACTTTTCAGTTTTGTAAGAATAGCTTAGAGTGAAAAGGAAAATGCAATTTTAAACGAGTTGAAGTTGAGAAAACATGTCTGAACTGTGTTTATCTTCTCATTACTCTGAAGGTGATTAAATTACTTTGAAACTATTAGGATTTAAAAAGCTGAATTTTTTAGACCTCCATAATCCCCCCAGTCCCAAACATCTCATTCTCTAAGCAAATAGGATTATACGTAAACTTAAGTAGAATAGCCCCTTAGGGTGTTCAATAAATGATAATAATAAGTAAAATGAATTAACCTATTTAAAACCTGTTCATGTGAAAAAGTAGCATGCATGTATTTTAAAGTAGAGTGCTTTAATGGCAGCAATTATGTATCACTATTAACACATTTTTCCTGGCCCTTTGTCTCTGTAAATTATTGTGATGAGATTGTTCTTTACACTGCAAAACTAGTAGCAGGAATAGAAAAATATAACCAAATGATATTTATATAATTAAAACATAATTTCACATTTTCAGCCTTTATAGTAAATAAGTTAAATCTAATATTTGACCTTTTCAAAAGATAATAATGAATATCTTAATTACTAAAAACTAGAGAAAGCGAAATTATGTACAAAAGTGCATATTTTCAAAAAGAGTCTTGAGAAGTTTAAGAATAAACTACAAGCAGTTCAGCTATATGAACAACACGTGATGTGAAAGGAGCAGAACTCAAGTTTTTACAACCCATGAACAAAACAACTCCTGGTTCTTTCTCACTTTTAGTGGCTACTATAGTTAATCAAAATTTCATACAATTAATTACAAAAAAAAATTTAATTAATCCAATGGTATTCAACTCTAACATGGATTACTGTTTCACATAAAAACCAGTGCTCTTAAAATCTCTACTTGATTCCTAATTTCTATATGTAGGATCAGTGCCCAGGAATTAAGTTTGGTTATACCATTCCAGTAAAATAAAAATAAACATCAGAGCTATGCCATCAAAAGGTATAGTAAAGCAGTCTCAAATAATTCCTTGAAACTATCATTTATTGATGTTTCTTAAAATTGACTTTGTTGGCCCCCAGACACCCTTTTAGCTCAGTGGTGAAGCTACCTCCGAGGTTCACTGTTCAGCCTGGGAGTGGACAGCCCC